CTGGCTGCCCAGAAAGTTGAGAACGCTGACCTTGTACTCCTGTCTTCTTTCGGCAGGCACTCTGTTTTATGATAGTGTCATCACACATTGTAGATGAGTTCTTACCATGACAGTTTGCTCTGTTTCTTAAAATAAAACGTTTTCCACAGAGAGGCGAATGCCTTGGGCTGCTCCTAGGAGGCGGTGATGCCTCTCTAGGTCACTGGTTTGCAGCCGGACACAGATGGTGTGCGAAAGACAGTCACGTCTGACTGCCTTCTGGTGACTGGGATTGCCAGGGGCTGTGGGCAGGGCTGGGAGGCAGGAGGGAGGGGATTCTTCGGTAGCCTTAAACTGGAAGTTTAGCAAACTGGAGACACTAATTAGAGGACCATTAGTCGTGGGTCAGTGGCTGGAATCTCCTCGAGTGGCCTGACTGTGATCTATGACGGGTACCGCCCAATGCCTAACAAGGGTGGCGCGGGAACCCATAGCCCGAACAGAGGTTACGGGATGAGAAGACTGAGGTGGCCTGAGGAGGGAGGCGAGGACGGCCACCCCTGTATCAGTCCCCTCAGAATGGGTCTCTGCCACTCCAGAGCCTCACACCTGCCTCGCTTCTTTCTTCCTTTTCTGCCTTCGTTTCTTTTCTCATCCAATGACTGCATAGAAAATAGAAGCAGGAGAAAGAGGGTTTAGGAGGTAAAATCACCTCTTTGGGATGGGATTTCAGAATGGAGAGTCATGGAGATCATTTTAGTTTCTTGCATCAGACTCTGGGCTTAGTGGGTGAACAGAGTGGAAACTGGATTTACACGTCCTTGGTCACTTCAGGCACAGCATGGCCTCTTCTTCCTCATGACTAAATTGTGGTCTGTGACTTGTACTGGTCTGTGGGATAATTTTTATTATTAATCTACAATGAGATAACCACAGAAATCAAGAGAAAGCATTTAAAATCTTGCCAAACTATTTGGCATTGTTGTGACATCAAGCCCATTTTTATTGTATTTTACCAATGCATTCGTCTCTTGTGGATTAGGAATTTTCAAAAAGATCCTTCCCTATAGAGAGTTCTGGGAAGCACTGTCTTCCAGCAGTTTGCCAACAGAGTGTATAAGTAGGATCTACTACATGCCAGTGTCAGCTCTCCAAAGAGCTAACCACGTGGGCTTTGCAAATCATCTGCTAACAGGGTTTAGGGGAGATTGTCTGATCCTTCCCTGTGCCAAGACAGAATCTGGAAGAACAGATGCCATATCCTGATCATCGCTGGATTCTACCAAAGTCTCTGGCACTGTGCTAAGAACAAAATAGACACACTGCAATCTCTTACCGAGTGAAGTTATTACTCTGCACTGTGGTAAGCAAAGCGAGGAGAGAATTTTGGAGTTGCGTTGATTTAAGCAGGCAGGTGGTGGTTGTCTTTCTGTTTCCCCGTGCTTTCTCCATCCCATCTGGAAGATAAACTTCTGGGGTCACAGACACGGACTGGAGATGACTCTCTTGCTGAATTTAAAAACCTAAATAATTGGAATCTAAGGCATTGTCACAGGAAGCCACATTCTTCATAGATAAATTGTGTAGTTTTGTTTACCTGTTTTTATTATTATTATCATTATTTTGGTACCAGGGATTGAACTCAGGCCCTGAGTTTTGGAGGCAGCAGCGGAACCACTGAGTCAAATCCCCAGCCCACCTGGTAATTATTTCTTAAAATTTAGCTTTTGGGTGTTTGAAGGCAAAGAATGTCAAGTAACTATGTTCCTTTGGTGCCAACAAATGGCTCGTGACTTTGTTGTGACGTTGGACAGCACAGTGGCACCCAAGGGTCTCTGTAGGAGGCAAGGCCTAGGAGAGCTTTCTGTGGCCTCAGCCACTAGCTGTCCTTCTTCATCCCTTATTTCACAGCCAAGGACAGATATTGAGAGAGTAGCCTCTTGGATAATAAATTTTAGCCCTTTCCAAGGACTTATGATGCAAACACAACTTACTTGGGGATGAAATTTGATAATACAAAGTCTCACTGAGAAATGAACTTGGTCAGAGAAAAACCTTAATAAACTGACATTAATTCCTATTAAATGCAGGACCCAAATACCCAAGTCAGCACTAGCCACATCTAAACACGTGAGAGAGAGAGAGAGAGAGAGAGAGAGAGAGAGAGAGAGCTCATCTCAAATAGTAACATGCTGATGAAGGGGGCTATGAACCTGGGTGTGCACGGAAGTTCAAAACAAGCTTAATAACCACTTCGACATGATTTTCTAGGTCTGTTTTTATTTAGTATAAATGTGGTATAATACACAAAGCTCCTACAATCTCACTTATAATGCATATAACAACACCGATGAATCATGAATGCATTATGCTAAGTAGGAAAAAAGACAAAAACTATAGAAAGTATGATTTCACTTATGTGACATCTGGGAAAGGGGACATTGCAGGGAAAGAAAGTGAATCTCAGGTTGTCAGGGACTAGAAATAAAGGAAAAGAGTTGCCTAAAAGGCCACAGGAGAACTTTTTGGATGGTGAAACTTCAATATTGATTATAGTTGCGTTTATGCGGCATATACAGTTGTCAAAACTTCCAAAACACTACGCTAAAAAGGGTGACTTTTTCTGCTTTATATGCCTGTACACAATGTACCCAATTCCTCATGTATTGATTTTAAAACATGAAAAAAATCAGTGTTACCAGAAGAAGTAATCTGAAATAAATGCAGTTTTAATTTTTATTGAGTTAAAAACAGTGCTTTTAACAACCTGGGGAGAAGACAAAAGGTAAATTTTGTTTCTTTGGCAAGACACGCTTATGTAATATCCCCCTCCAAGTGGCTTAGACCTTAGAAAGCACCTCTAGAAAGGAGGTAGTGCTTGCTCTCCAGGTAAAACACATCTTCCGCATCAAGCTCTGGCTGCTAACCAGCCGCAGGCACACTGGATCCTTCTTTCTTTGTACCTTTTCATTCCCAATACCGCTAGGAGCAGCGATACTCTTTCCTCTCTGAATTTCAGTCTCGAGCCATTTTTTCAAGGAGATCATTCTGTCTACCCCAGGCTGTCATCTTTTCCCCGCTTTCCTGCACTTCTGTAGTATTTATTGCTCACATCATTCTCCTTAAAACTATTTTTCATCTCATGTACAGGTGTGCTTGTCTTTTAGTCAAGTGCTGTTAGAGTGCTTTCAAGGCAGGGACTGTGCCTTGCATTTCTGTGTACGGTAGGCAGCCCCCAAAGAACAGGTGTTTAATAAATGTTTCAAATGATGGCGGTAGCAATGATGACATCACCGAGGACCTGCACGGTCTGCTTCTTATCCAGCTCAAAGGGTATACTTTAGCCTACGCTGAGTTTTTAAAAGGCCATATTGGAGGGAGGGCAGGAGATTGTCCAGCACCCTCCTCAATCACCTCACTGTGAGAAAGTTATGCATATGAGAAACCAAGAATTTTAATTGGCGAGCTTGCTCATTTGGAGATAAGAGTGTGTTACAGGCTTCAGTGAGACATCTTTGGGGCTGGGGTTACAGTTCCCAAGAGGGAATATTTTAGCATCTCTCTCCCCTGAGCTGCCAAGAATAATGATTTTAGGTGTGAGACTGCAAATTTCTCGTAGACTTCTTTAAGGTCAAGGGGACCATCTGGAACTGAAACGAGAGACCTACCATTAGGCAGGGCAAGGACAGAGGGAGGCAGAGCTTGCCGAGGAACAAATGGCATCTGGCCCCTCTTCTGGGAAATTCTTCCCCTTATTCTTGCTATTGTCTATTTAAGTTTTTAGAAGACAAAAACGAAAACAAAACACAAGTAAAACAAATTGAAATAGAAGAAATAATGAACGGTAACATTTGAAAAACATAATTGCAAGGCAGTAGACAATGAAAATCTGCTAAGGGTCAAGAGCAGAATTTTCTGTCCAATGGGAACGTCCAGAAAACATCAACAAATGACCCAGGCTGTTGAAGCAAAAAATTCAGGAAGATTCTGCTTGGAAGAAAAATGGCAGGGAAAGTACAATGTCTGCCAAAGCCGGCAGAGAGTTTATCAAAGGGTTTCTTAGCATCTGCGTTCTGTAGCTTCAACCCCCAACCTTAAAATTAAACCAAATTTAAGTAAACCCCAGACTCACACTCTGTCTCTCCTCTCTCTCTCCCTCTCCCTCAGCCTTAAGCAAAGGTAGATCCAGCCTACCAGAAACCACTCATATTTCAATATTCTCCGCACTTTTAAGGATCTTGTCATTTTTATTGCCAGCCAGTGAAATACTCAGTGCCTTGGTCAGAAGCTAGAGGGCAACATCAGAGCCGTGGATGTTACCTAGGAGGGCAAGATTCAAGCCAGAGCCTAAAATGTTCCATCTGGCTTGAGTTCCCTCTGGGGTACTTCCCCAGAGATCAACGTCATCAAAACTCAGGAGTCTTCTCCCTCCCAAGCGCACGATACACTCACACTGTTTACTCTGCAGGAAAACGGGGAAGTCCCCCTCTGAGTTCCACTTCTCACAAAATCAGAAAATGGCAAAGCAACACGTCAGGAGTTCAAGCCCCAGATCCGTACTTGCCTGTGGCTGCTTACTAACAGATATCAACCGGCTCAAAGCACGCACTTTGGAAATTATGTAAATATGTGTATTTATACAGTGGATTATGAAAAGCTTTTAAAAACAAACTGAGGTATTTACATCACAGACCTTGAGACTTCAAAAAAGTTGTTATGCTCCATTATGTCAACTTGCATTTGTTAGCATGAGGTCTTTTAGGAAATACTGCCTCGCAAAGACACGATGAAATGGTGAGAGGAAACCACAAGAAAAATAAGGTTACTGAACCTGCTTCTCCAGACCACCACCCTGCATGAATGAGAGGTGGAAAAGAGCACATCATTACGAACTGTGACAAGAAATATGGACAGAATATTGGAGCGAGCCCCAACCTAAGTAAACAAACTCCATAATGGGGGAGGAACAGAAGAATTTACTTTTTTTTTTTTTTTTTTTTTTTTTTTTTTTTTTTTTTTTTTTTTAACTTGAATGAACTTTGTGGGATGAGGCATGGAAAGATTTAATTCTGGCAGGGGAAAATAGTGTGCTTTCATCTTTAAAGCACTTTCATTTGAATAAAATAGCTCCATGAAGCAAAACAAAAATATCTAGACTACTGTAATCATTGCAGTTTTTTAAAACGTGGTTTTCAATTTGATAAATCCAAGATCCTCATGGCATTCTGTATGTAGAGTTGAGTACTTTTAATGTCTTCCTCTATTCACAAAAAGTGTCACCTTAATCTTTATCTAACAGGGACATTTGCCCTATTGGAAACTTTTTTTTTAAAAAAGTACTTCTTGAAACTAGTCACAGTGATGCTAAGATTTCAAAATGGATTGCTGACAAATAGCCAGATGTAGGTCCACACTTACAGAATGCTATACATGTGAGCTAACACCTGTAATATAATAAACTAACTAATTTAAAAAGTAACAAGACTATATCGTATATCTGTGTTTAAATAGATGGTACAGGTGTGTAACACTTTGGTAAAGGACACAGAATTCATGATAAGAGATTGACTCGGGAGGACAAATGGGGAATGATCTAAGGTAGGAAATCAAGAGGCTTTGAATTTATCATTTTATATATATCTAAATATTTATGTTATATACATAAATATTTAAAAAATATCCAGCAAATATGGCCCAATGCTAACATTAATCATTTCTAGTAGGTAGTAGGTAAGGAAACACCTGTTTGTGATTGTTTTTATCTTCCTGTTTAATAAAATGCAAAATGCTAAGGAAAAGGAAAACCTAGTTGCACTACTGGAACTAAATAATAAATATGCCAACCATAAATGAAACAGCTGTCATTGGAGGGAGACAAATTCCAGTGACAGAAAGCAAATCTGATCTTTGTATATCTGATTAATTTTCAGATGGAAATGAATGAGGTGCCCCAAGACAGAAACCTAGGGTTGCTGTTGATAAGTCCAGTTTTTCACTAGCCATGAACCTAATCTTCCTTCTCCATTTCTGGAATCCCTCTTCCATGTGTTTTCTGTAAAATCAACACGATTCCTTCCTCTCAATCATCCTTCATCTATATATCATGTATCTACTTACTGCAGTATGTGTAAGATTTGAGAATATAAACTCACTATAGAGAGGTGCGTTACCAGTGAGATTCTACTATTATTTAGCTTAATTTGCCGGTCAGACCTCTGTTCTGATGTTCTGTCTACAGCCTAAGCCAGACCTCTCAACTCTCTTGGTCACTGCACAGAGAGCAGAGCATTCTCTCTGGACACTTTAAGACTGACTCCCTCCCTCCCTGTCTCCTTCTTCTGCAATCGGATTCAGGTAGCTCCCCTTTTTCTGAGCACCTGTCTGCTGTGGCTCCTGGTGTTTGAGCTTCATGCCCTGCTGCGCCACTCACAGCTCACCAGCTCACGCGTTAGCTCTGCTCTGGCTGATTTTCCAGCCCTGTGATTTGAAACTACTCATCCTATTTCATGGGTGGCTGACCGAGGGACTTTCCAATTCTGCATATCCTTAGGGGAGATTCAGAATAAAAGTATGAAACGAGAAGTTTTCAGAAGTATAGACTTTTATAGGGAAAAGGAAAATACAGAAGAATAGATACAGCTGGCTAGCTGGTGGATGACAAAAAGAATCGGCTTCTAGTTCTCCATATGGACAATCTGGTGTGCTTGCTTCGGCAGCACATACACATATCAACAATCTATTTCAGTCTCTTTAAAATAAATGGCTATTCTCCCCTCTGCCTTGAAGTTTGTTAAAACATCCCAGCAGTGTGGGGCTGGACATATTGGTACACGCCTATAATCCCAGCATACTACAAGGCTGAGGCAGGAGGATCACAAGTTTGATTCCAGCCTGAATAACTTAGTAATTTAGTAAGACTCTGTCTTAAAAAATATTCTCTCAGGAGGACTGTGGGGCCTGAAACCCAGCCAGCCTGGATTCAAGCTCCACTCACTTAAGGTCTCTGAGCCTCAGTGCCTTCAAATGGAAATAGAAACAACACTGGCATCTTTCTTTAAATGTGATTTTTTAAAAAAATCTTTACTTTTCTTACCACTCAGAATGTAGCCACTACCCAGCAGAAAGAATCACCAGAGATGATATCCATGCGAGGGCCCTGACAGCCTGGGGAGACTCAGGCCATGTGACTCTCGGGCTCAGGGCAGCAGCCTGAGAAACAGACTTCTTCAGAAACTGCCAACTCAAGTGTGAGACTGGTGTTTGGACAGGGTGACTGCAAAGGTCCTTCCTATTCCGGGATTCCACAGTTCTAGGACTATAAATTGTTTTCTAGGAAGAAGTTAAGGTGTCAAGTTAAATCTGCACCCAGTTACACAGACACACTGGACTTGACAGAAGTTCATTAGTTTACCGTTTACACACACACACACAAAATCAGGTCTTGCAGCGACAGGGGTTGGACGGCTCCATGGAAAAAACTTATCTGCAGCTCTGCAAACTGAAAAAGGAATTCAGAGGTCCTCCGCGCAGGCCTTGCCCATTGCTCTTTGTATCTCTTCTTCCAAGTTGGCTGTTTCTGGGAGACATTCAGCCTTCACTCGGTGGGAACAGGGTTCCCAGTGGATACATTTCAAGGGAAAATGGGTGTCCAAAACTGGGTTCCAAAAAGCAAAACCCTCAAAACTACCTCACTCTAGAGAATTTTTGAAGTAACTTAGGTAATAGGAAAATAACTTATTTGCAATCCAAACATTTTGTGACTATAATGACACATTGTGTATTAACTATTATTTCAAACATGTTAAAAGAAAGGGAAAACCTAAATGCCAGAAAGGAAGCCCTGACTGATGTCTTCGGCAGGATGTCATAGCTCCCAATAGAAAATAGTGGATTTTTAGGATTTGAAGGAGAACACAGTAGTTCACTTACAATAGAGGTGTGTGCCTGAAACCAAGTCTCATCAATGGGATCACGCTCCACACATCTGAACCTTGATTTCATATAATTCCACGCTTTCTTCTGCCAAGTGCAATCAGACTGGAAGTGGTTTGGGAAGGGTTTTGTACTTTAGTATTCAACACATGCATGTGGATGGGCTTCAATGAACACTTAAAAATAAACATTTCAGAGCTGTTTTATCATCATTTCTGAGTGACTGTCAATTAGTAAGACTCTTCCCCTGCCCCAGGTGGCTGTCACTGTGGAATCCAGTGAACCAGGCAATGCTATTTAAAGGTCTTCTGCTCGACTGGACATAATAGTCTACCATGTCCTAGGGTTCTGTGGATGTGCAAGTTTGAATTTCCCTAAGTCAGGGGAAATAGTGGAAAAATACTCTGGGGATAAGACCTGCTGTGAAAGAAAAGCACATATTCCACCATGCATGAGAAGAGAAAAAGCCACTGGATGAAAACAGAAGCTGTTAGTGTTAAAAATGTGATCCTGAACTGACCTGTGCAGATGGATGTACCCTTGGCTTGTGCCTCTTTTACATCCCAAGGGTCTACAGTTACCCTGGGCTTCGTGGCACTGCTGAGTTAGGGAGAATGGAACTGTAGAACAAATATTAACTTCACCCCCACCTTAAAGGTGATTTGGAGTTTCAATCTTGACTGAAACCCAAGCTTCTACCACCCACCTGGCCAGGTATGACTTGAACCAGAGCCCAGCAGTGGCATGGGGAGAGGTGTGTCTCTTTCATTTCCATCAGAGGGCATTCTGGGGTACCAGGAAGGAGAGGGCTGCAAGCATCCCAAGAGAGTGTCAAGAGGGCGGGCTGTGGACTGAACTCCTGAGTTCCTAAAGCCTATTTTCTAGCTCTACCTTCTTGGGCAAGTTACTTGATCCCCCAAAGCCTCAGTTTCCTAATGAGCAAAATGTGGTAACCCAGTCCTTATCTCAGTGTTCTCTCAGGTCAAGTAAAGTGACACAAAACAGTTGGGGAAGTGCTAAGTAAAGTAAGAAACACTAACAAAAAATGAGCGATCGCTTCAAAACCTGCTCCATCCGAGTTGTGCATCCTTCTTGAAATATTATCCTGTTTTTCCAGTTCCTGGACTGGGACAGTTCTGAAGGAAAAAAAGGTTGCTCTAGTTTATGAACAAGGGTCCACAGGGAGGTAGCTTCCCGAAGGTCAGCACAGCTGCTTCTGTGAAGGAGAATGGCCTTCCATGTCCTTAGGATCATTGACTTTGGCCCTCTCTAAGCCAGGTTCAGTAACGAATTCCAATGTAATTAACACCTCCTCCTGGGGCTTGCTTTTTTTTTTTTTCCTATTGTTTACAGCTTCCTGTCATTTAAGGACTACCAATCTGGGACTCCTATGTTTAACAAATATTTAAAACCTGACAGATGACAGCTCTTAGGTTACAACTTGGTTAAAAATAGGATTCTCAATAGGTACCTGCTAATAAAACAAAAAGGAGGGAGACAGACTTATTAGGGAAGGTTGCCTGACAGATAGTGATTACGATGACGTGGATTGAAAATGCTGTGACAGGAACAGAAAATGTCAGGTCAACACAGCACTCTCCATGGAGGGAACCAAGGGCTGAGAGTTACGCAACAGGCATACATGGCCGGGGCTGTGCCAAGAATCTGCTTCAATCAAATGGAGTGACCTTCTTGGAAGTGGGTGAATTTGCCCGGTTATTTCTGGCAACAGTTCCGGTTCTCAGGCTCTTTATCCTACCAGTTGTACTTCTAAAGTAAGAAATATGTTGTCTGCCTGATACCAAGACCTTCATGCCAAACACACTCTGCAAGATGGGAGAGGAGTCCTGCAAACACTGTGCATATGAGGCCAACAGACTACAGTTCTGCAGGAGAGCAGCACCTTTGCCTAGCTGTCAGGCAGCTAACCTGGCTTGGAACTGATGCCCTATCTTTTCCTAAAATGAGAAAAGCGATGTGGGCACCCACACGTACCCAACACATACAAGTGCACGTATATTTAATAGTATTACAGTCTATCATAAAATGTATGCATTGGCTACGAGGAAGAGATACTTATCTTTGAAGATACAAGGCATATTGTTATTTTGGAGAACAGCCTCAGGAAAATTACAGAAAAGACGGTTTCTTCCCTCACTTGCCTCTTTGCCATCATTCTTTTCTTATTATGCAGTGGTTTTATTAACGATGTCAGGAAATTTGAGCTTTTCCTTAGAGGCAGGCCAGTGAGTCTCTCACTTCTGTCACCAGCCAGCCTACCCCCCAGAGCCGCCACAGTTTATTTTCCCAGCACTCAGTGGACTTCTCTTCCTGTCTGTCCACACAGACCCAAGAGCTTCACACCACAATTCTGTTTGCTATGGATTTCCCCTGAGGAATCCTGCTCCTGGGCAGGCATTCTTTTTGTAATCTATGGCCCCGCATCATCTGGACTTATTCTTTCTCCACTTCCTCTTCTGCAAGTCTATCTCCCCTCTTATTGTGAAGGTGTGTGATAAAATCCAAATGTAACTTGGTTATTCTTCACCATCAAACTTTCAGGGGCCCTCCTCCCTACAGAGTCAAGTCCAAGGCCCTTGCTATGTATGAACTCATTTCTAACCTAGGAATCTTTTGCCTGTTTAGCAGGAATCTTGTCCCATTATGGAGACCTGGCAGCCTGAGGCTCCAACCCTGTAAATTATTGTCTTGCCATCTGCACAACATACTCTGCTTTTTCTGGCTTTCATGCCTTTGAAAACTCCTTCCTCTGCCGAGAATGCCCTTTTCATCTTGGCCCAAACTACCTATTATCTCAGTTCCAGCGTATTGATAGCTGGTAGATGATGCTTTCCTGGGCAGTCCTAGCCAGTTTTAGAACCTGCTCCCTCTTCAGGGTTCAACAATAAACCCTGTGTGATTAAATCAGAGGCTTACACTGGTCACTTCCTCCTCCAGGCTTCCAGCTCGGCGGGGGCCAGGACTGACAACCCTGTTTTCATTACCTAACAGTCTTGGCTTCTAGTGGCGTTCAGCAAATGTTTATTGATAGAAAAATATAAATTAATTAACTTGACTTTTTTAAAAGCTCCTTAGGAAGTAGGTTTGCCTTCAAGAAGAGCCTGACTTTTAAGAACATGTCAGAACTAGGAAGAGACTTTAGCAGTGACCTGCTTTAATCAGCAGGCTTACACCTTGTACACTGCAGTCACCAGGTAGGAAAGTATCCCCTAAATCCACGGAGGCAGAAGGCAATGGAACCCATGTGAGTCCCAATCCCAGTTCAAGAGCTTTTTCTGATGCCTCCATTCAAAGTGTCTAAAATAGGAATTAGTTACATCTCATCCTGCAGATGTAACCTGCATAGGAGAGTGGGTAGTTCTGGGGGGTCAGAAAACTGCTAGTTAATACAACTGAATTCTGAATCTGAAAAAAAACTGTTATACTTGACCTTTAGACAGCAAATCGATTTGAAAAAGACTGATGACACATTTCAACAGGGCAGCGCAAGAGAGTGTTGGGAGTCACAGGAAAAGAGAGAGAGGCCAGTAGCTATGTGTGAGAATTTAGGCCTGATGACATTCAAATCGCACTAAACTTAGGGCTACCCATTTAAGCAGTGTGAACTCTGGGAGGCTGAGGCAGAAGGATCCCAAGTTCTAGCCCAACCTGAACAACTTAGTGACAAAGAGGCTCTGTCTCAAAATTTTTTAAAAAAGTGAAAAGGGCTAAGATTGCCACTCAGTGCAAAATGCTGGGTTCAATCCCCTCTATCACAAACAGCAACAACATGATGACAGAACAACATGAAATCCTTTGGTCTGAACAAAATCTGTCCACAGGTGCCTGTGACCAGCCTGTCCCGTGGGACCCTCCCTGGGTTCTTCCTCCAAGTGGGTTGGGCTCAGGACTCCACAGGAAAGGCTGGTCTCTCGGTATCTGAGGATCCTCTTGCCAGGTCTTCCCAGAAGGCCTGGGACAACGGAAAGCAAAAGGAAACACAATTTTAAAACTTCATGTTTGTCTACCCTCAGGAAAAAAATAATTAGAATGTGGGAGTAAGAGTTTATTTACTGAATTTAAAAGAGATAGATAATGGGAAATAGGGAGCTAGATCTTTTGTAAAAAGGAAGGGGAGCAGGAGATGAGGGGAGGACAATGGGACAGATGACGTGTTGGTACTTGTACCAATCCCCAGGAGGAACCATGATGAACTGCGAGGATGTGCCGATACATATACCACCTAGGAAAGAAAGAAATTATATGTGCTACCCTCAGGCTCGAGAGTGCACAAAAAGTTCGTAAGAACTGATGTACTGAATTTTAAAATTAGGTGAGTAGGTATTAGGTGGGAAGCACATCACCCTTTTTCCAGATGAGGTAAACTTGAAGTGGCAAAGAATTGGCCCAGGGTCCCAGATGGAGCGACAGGGCACCCAGGACCTGGGTTTGTAGGCCTTATAATCCCTCTGCTCTGGCTTCCCTCACAGTGGCGAAAGCACTCAGGACTTTCTACTGTAGCGGAATCAATCTGCCCATTCCAGAAGACGGGGAAACCCATCCAACCGTGGCCAGTGGGGATGGTGCTGCTCTGAAAGGCCGAAGATTCGGGTCTAGTTCTGGAGGTCTGGAAGGCTGTTTGAGTGAGGGTGGTGGTGAGACTGGGAGAAAATGAAAGATCTATTGGATGCCGGGGCTTTGTGCTTGATAAGTCGAAACCGCATCGCTGGGAACTCCCAGCTCCTGCACCGAAGACAGCAGAACTCCGACATGAACAGAGATACCCTGTATTGACGGGAGTTACTGTTTATTCCAGGAGCCCTTACCTTTGGAGGGGTAAGACGGTAAGCCAATGAATAACTGTGCAGTTTGTGGCAAGAAATTCCTGCGGAGTAATTTATCCAAGACAAAGGGCAAACCACTTGCTATTCAAACAACACTTTACTTGCCAAGGCTTGCTTCAACACTCTTGTGCCGCTCTGCCCCCGCCCCTGCTTCTACACGATCTTATTACAGAGAATGCCAGTCTCAACCGTCCTACCTTGAAAAACCTGCTGCGCCAACCTGAAAGTGCCAGGAATAGCCATTTCCACTTGGCCCTTCTGAGACTCTTCGGAGACTTTCTCAGGACTGTGCTCCTCCTCCAAGCGGTGTGGCGTTGCCCTATCCACAGAAGACCTGGAGAAACTGTGGGGAGGGCAGGACGAGGTATTTTCAGCCTCCCTTCTTTAACGTGGGAGCCGAGACTCTGATGGACGAAGTCACACTGCACTTACTGACATTTCACGCCAAAAGATGTGGCAGAAGCAGATTCAGATCTAGATGTCGGCTCCCCGAGACCACATTAGTGCTGAAGCCTTAACTTCCTTGTCTGTAAAAGGAAGGAACCACACGGGCTCAGGAGGACTAAGATTTTTGCCTTGATTTCCACTGATAAAAACAACCAATCATTTAAGCCACAGTAGTTTTCTCCTGTATTGCCTTTATGACTTTATCTAAATGAACTGTAAGAACAGTAGAAAAGGACCCTAAAAGATTTTTGTGTGTAAAGACATATAACACAAAACCGCTCAAACTGCTCTAAAGCGCAGTTTGGTGGCATCTAGAACATCCACAGGTTGTACGACCACCGGTTACCTATTTCCACATTTCAACACCCTGTCCCACCAAGCAGTAACTCTTTGTTGCCCTCCTGCTAGCTCCTGACAACCACTAGCCTACATTTCGTGAAACTGCATGTTCTGAACATGGTGTGTGATGTTTTGTCACATATATTCCAGCGGTCCCTTAACATTGTATCACCTAGTAACACCGTGGCCATCTTAGCTGGAGTAATTACCCTCTATGGTGTTCTCACAGCCGTGAAATTGCCGAGCGACACACTTCCAAGGGTGGTTGTTTTTCATACAAATGGAAAGATGCAGTGTGGGGTCTGGCTGCTGTGACTTGGCATACTGTTTTCCAGGCCACATCAGACTCTGTTCTGGAATAGTTAAGGTATATTTTGGACAGTGAATAATAGCAAAGGGACACGCCAAATGCATTATTATTTTACGAGTGAGCGTTTTTTCCCTATGGCAAGGGCTAACAGTCCTTCTTGGTAACAGTGAGAGGGGAAAAATCTCCACATCCCTTGGCTACTTGATCTAATGGGGAGCTAGCTCTCCATCACTCTTACCAGCTCTGGGCTGAGGCCAGCTGCAGCCTGGCTGCAGGAGCACTGCATGAGGAGCAAGAAGGCAGGCACCCAGGTGTTTTCATAGGCCTACCTGGCCTTCTCCTTATCAGCCCTGGTATGTACCTGAGGACAACGGGGTGAGCTGTTCCATGAAGTCAAGGCAGGGTGAGACTTCAGGTGGATTCTGATGCATGGGACTAAATAGGAAGAGGCTGCTGGGCAGTTTTCCTGCCCATGCCTGGGGGAGCCTTTGATCAATTCGCTTCTCCAGCAAACAGAAGTCAGTCTTTTCAATGAGATCACAGAGTTCATGGCTGCCTACCGTGATCTGCCAAAACTGCTGTTGGTGAACCTCCTTCATATACTTAGACTGAAAAGGAACAATTCTGATAAGACTGTCAAAGAAAACATATACTGCAACTCACCCAGAATTCTTCCCTATCAAGAGGCCTCAACATGTCAAAGAAAAATAATTGTGTGCCTAATACTGTCAAATTTAAAACATAATTTGATGCCACAAATATAAATCTTTTTTCTAGTGACAGCTCAACACTTAGAAAACTTACTTCATCATTTCCTTTCCCAGTTAATGTCAAAATGAAAATTGATGCTGGATACATAAATGAGTAGGAAATGCTTTTTCCTTAGAGAATTTCTTTTTTCCCCCTCTCCGAGGATGAGGTGGCAAACAAAAATATCAAAAGAAAAACTAATAAAGTCTTCTTTCCAACCTTTAACATGAAGGCAAAAGGTCACAATGAGTTCAAAAATATTTATCTTATAATTACTGCATTAAAAATCACAAGTGCAGATAAATGTCACAGCAGGCACTGAGTATAGGACCAGTCAATTTATGAGGTGGCTTAAAATAAAGATGCTCTCTGTGGTATTAAAATGACTGTGAAAATTTTAAAACTTTCTCTTTCTTTTCAAATATGCCAAACATCTGAGGCACCAGTTCTTAGTGGATGCCTTGAAAAGGACTGTGACTCTGTTTGCATGCAGGTGGACATGCACCATTCTTAGGTGAGGTCATAACTTTTTCCTTTTTTAATCCCGAAAGAGTTGGTGATTCAGAAACAGGAAGATTCCTCGCTGAAGAGCTGGCTGGGCGACTTGGTCTCTTCCGTTCGAAGGTTCCACGACATCAGCTCGGTGTTCACTGAAGGCACTTTCTAGGGATGAGTGGCTCTGGCCAACACAGACTGCCCATATAATGCGTTGACCACCGACGACGACGAGCAAACACCTGCCCACCAAACGCTATTCACCTCTGGCTATTAACTTCTGTGTGCAGGATGCAGCCTCCGTTTTTCCAAAATCTCCTCTGTTTAAACAAAGCGCAAGCCTTCATTTTAAATGCAGTCTTCATTTTGAGTAATTTGATGCAATATTATTTGGTCAGTTAAACATGTTTCACTGTCATCCCTAATCAGTGGGTGACATTCTACAAAGGAAGGTTCCACAACACGAGCCTGCAGCTTCAAATTCCCCAATCCAGAAAGCTATGAAGATAGAGTCTTTCCGTAACTCATTTGGCAGTTAACCTGACCTTACTTGAACTCATCTGGCAGCAAAATGTGACTTGAACTGGCACGAAGCTATTTATAGTCAGTATTTATCTATCTACTTAGTATGAACAATCATCTATTTTGCAATGGAGACGTTCATGTTTGATTATGAGATGCTGACCTGGACTCTGCTTAGGTATCACACAATACCCAGTATGTACTGTATTGCCTCCGTAAAGTTCAAAAAATCTGAATTTCAAAACACATTTGGCCCGTCAGGTCCTTACATAGAGCTTGTGGACCTAGTCTATATATTTTGCCTAAAAAGATACACTGTATACATATATGTAATATTAACTTTGATTTTTTCAGTACTTGTGAGTTTATATGGTCACTCTTATTTCCTCATCATTTCAAACTGACTCTACATATAGCAAGTTAATTCTGATTTGTGAAAAAAAAAATGAAGCTTTGAAAGTACTTTACTTTGTCTCCAATAATGTTTCAAAAGTATAGGCAGAGGAAACAAGCAAGAGTAGCTGCCTACAGAAAGATACACACTGCACAGTATCTCTATAGGTGAAATCTAAAAATATTAAACCCTTAGAAGGAGAGAGGGGCAGGGAGGGGTCAGAAAGGGAAAAGGGAGCTGCTGGTAAAAAGGTAAAAACTTTCCATTATGACAGGAGGAATAAGTTCTAGTGATCTACTGCACAGCATGATGACTATATTTAGTTATATTATACAATTCAAAATTGCTAAAACAGTAGATGGTAAATGTTATCACCAAGAAAGAATAAGTATATAAAGTAATGGATATGTTAATTAGCCTAATTTAATCACAGTACAGTGCAAAATATGTCACATTGTACTCTGTAAGTATACATAGTTATTATTTGTCAAGTGAACAATAAAAATAAATACACACAAAAATAAAAATAAACAACAGAAAGAGTACGTGCCTGATTTTGAAGATTGCCTATCTTGGTCTATATACAGCCTAGCACATGTAGGTAAAATAAGTGAATAATTATAAATTGATCTGTAATATAGTAAAATAACAATATGTTGATGTAATAACCTTTTATGACATCAGTTTCAAACTCTGCCCTTCAATTGCTCTAAAATGTTAGGTTGAAACTGATTCCTCAGTGCCGTCACAAAATTCATAACTTTTCTCCCCTCAGACACCTGGCCAGAGTCCCAGGTAGGGTGAGCTTGTGTGGTGTTTCCGGAGAAACTGTTAGCGAAGATGAATAGGGAAAATGCTCAAATAGGCAAAGCAGAGGAAGAAAGATTTAAATGATGACTAGACATATATTTAATATGCTTCAGGAAAAAGACCATTATTCATTATTGAATGAAATGGAAGTAATGCTATTTATCTGTTAGAAAGATCAACAGAATCAAATAGGTGATTCCCATAATGCAGAAAGTGAGTCAGGAGCTTTTCTTTGGAAATGTGCTTCCATTTCAGAAATGCAGGGGAGGCAGTAAAATACCTTCCTTTCTCCAAGATCTCTATTAACTCAGAAATAATGGATGAGAGCAGAGATATGAAGCCCTCATAAAAACACAGCCAGGTCAACAAGACTTGACCATGACCCGCAGAGTTGTCTTAATTTCCATAAAGGGAGAATGTGTCTGTTGGAAAGTTTGGCAGGGTGAGCGGTAAACATGTGACTATTGGTGATAGAAAAAGGAGAGAGAGACAATCAGATGTTGGCCCTGCTCATCCAAGCCCTATTTAGGGGAGGAAGGCAGGTTGGTCTCAAAGCCAGAGGACTTCCAACATTCCAAGCCACAGAAGAGAAGAGTGCATTGGTAAATCTACGCAACCAGCTCTTTGTTCTGATCCCATGCTTGCTAAGAACCTTCTCATTATAATTATCTTCCCTGGAGGCAGAGAATGTCTCATCATGCTCAGTGTATGCCACGAGCCTCGTGACAGCTACACTGTGAGTTATTAAAGTGGCTTTCCGACTTTATGTATCAAACTCAGGAACTGACGTAGAGAAATGTATCCATACCAAATAGGTTTGGAAGCTTCCAGAGGCCTTTCCTCTGCCCCCATGGAGTCTCCCTAGTCAGCTGCCCTGCTCTCAGCTTCCTGGCTGGACACTCCATGCAAAGTGTCACAAACAGTCCCAGTAAGTTAATACAAATATAGTACATACAATACACAGAGAAAAGAGTAACAGGTAAAGTCTTAATGTTTTGCCCAAAGGAATTTGGGCAGTAAATTTTCTTGGAATAGCTCTCTCTCTCTCCCTCTCTCTCTCTCATTGAGAACGGAAGATAATGAAATCGGTTTCAAGTGAAAAAGAGCTGAGGGACTGCAAACTGTGTGAGGGTTGTCATGTGTAAGGCATATATTAAAATTTCTTGTAGTACAGACTGTAAAAATAAAATCTAAAACAGAAAGCTATACATTAGTAAATAGTGATCTGATTCTCTTGGGCATATTGACTTTTGGTTACAGGGAGAACACTTGGGCCAGCAACAAGGGCTTTTCCCCTCTGTAGTATCCAGGGAGGAAAAATAGCTCTAGATCTTTGTCCAAAAGGAAAAAAGCCCGTGTACAATAAATACAGTATGTGACAAATAAATCAAATGCTTTTTACACTGATAAGTGCCCTAGAACCTAAAACACGCAGTTCTTATTTAACAGAGGTGGTGAGATGGCTATTTTTCAAGAAAAGGGATGGGCATGAAGCATATATTACCTTCATATTCACTGAATTTATGTTGCTTAGGTACAGAATTCCAGCAGTGTCATTTCTAGAAATAAACTCTTTTCTTAGAAATATTTGGATAACAACCTTGACACAAGCAGAAGTTGTCCTGTTTACTGCAATTGGGAGATTTGCATTTTTCTTGAAGAAACTGTTGTTGGGTAGTGAAACTCTGGATTCACAAAGGAAACAGTGTTGTGTCCCATTGTTTAGTATGCAGCTCTAGTAGCTTTTGCGGTGTTCTGATCTGGACTGGCTCCCAAAGGTACTTTTGTTTGGAGCTTAGTTCCCAGCTTGGTACTTCCAGGAGGACCTAGTGGGAGAGACACGGGGTATGAGGGTCTTGCGCCCTTGAAGGGGATTGTGAAGCCCATCTCATCATCTTTCTTTCCCTTCCTAATCATAAGGCAAACAGCTTTGCTCTGCTATGTGCTCCCCAGCAGGATGGGCTACCTCTCTCTAGGCTCAAAACAACATGGCCAACAGGGCATGAACTGGACCTTCTAAAGCTGTGAGCCAAAATCAATACCACTTTTCACAAGCTGACTAGTTGAAGTACTTGCTACAGTAATGCAAAGCTAACTGAGAAAGGTCTGTTGCCACTATGTACCTAGTTTATTGCTGTAGCTAAAAGTCTAGTTTCTCTGACTCTAGTATAATTCGGTGAATATTCAGAGTATACATAATGAGCCTATGGAGGTCAAAGGGAAAAAAACAAAGACAATGCCTTTGTACCAAAGGAGCTTCTGGTCCAGTGAGGAACAGACAAAAAAGGCAAATATTTTGGTGACATAAATAAGACTAGCCACCTAGCCTTGATCTCTACTTATTTGTTGCTGTGAACTGTTTAAACTCAAATGTCTTACCTCCACAGGGGGCATGACCCTTGGCCTTATGCACTTAGAAATCTGCTTGGTAAAGGTGCATTTTTCTAGGTCAGCTCCTGCAACTGATATAATAAAAATCAGAAAACCAATTTCATATATGATTACATAACTATTAGTTTTCTGATTTGCATGATGATTACTGAATGAGATTACTGAATTTACTCTGAAATATTTTTGAAGATCTAGTGAGATGCTATATCCACCAATCATACCTTCTGATGACAAGTTAATCTTTCTAAAGCACTGTTTGAATCCTGACCATCTTGTCAGAAAGCTCTATGCTTTCAGGGAGGTTAGAGTTCACTGCGTTTGTGTAACCCTTCTGGTTTGTCCTAAAACCACCTTTCTAGTTTCATTTCTAATTACTCCAGCGATAGGAAATATCTACAAGGGGCTGCTTGCTCATTATCTGAATATTTATCTCTACTGCCTAGACTTTGGCACTTTAGTTTATGCTGTTTTATTCTCCTTGTAACTTCCTGTGGACTGGCTTTTCATGTCACTGTTATCGTGCAAGGTTATCAAGCCTCTAGATTATATCACCTTGTCATTGGCTCCTTCTTCTGCTATTAAATACTTGAAATGCGGCTTGTGGCAATTGAGATGGGCTGTAAAATATACATCAGATTTCCAAAATTTCATATGTATATATGATACTGTACATAAAGTGAAGCATCTCATTGTTTTATATTATGTATAGAAACACTTCATCTTTGTTTTTTCTCTTTTAAAAAAATACTAGAAAATAAAAAAACAAAAAAAGAGACGACTAGACACTATAAAAACAAATACATAGCTTGCATTCTGTTGCTGTTGGACAGCACTGGTTTGGAGTCCTTATCGCTAGCACACAACCACAACTGCTTCTTTTTTATCACATCTCACAGGTGGATGTCTAATCTCCCCAGTAAGAGTTACTGCCTTGGGGACAGACTGAGTGTTAGGTTGCAGGTGTCCCACACAGCACAGGCACTCAGTACGTAGCATCCTCCATTCAAACAGGATGAATGTATGAATCACAGAAGACTAATCACAGCAATTCTCTAACAGATAAGCTCCCAAAGTGTTTCTGAGTACATCCAACGGGGGTGGGGGAGTACTAGTCTTTCTAGGTACATGAACATTCAAAAGATTTGAGGAGTACTCCTTTTTTTACATGTGCCTTTGGTCAAGAGGTTATATTGGTTGCCTGCTTTGAGAAAGTTTTATATTGCCTATTTTGTCCTGTGTGTGAAGGATGCTTTTTATGATATTGTGAAGACTGGTTAGTTTCTATCTTGTATTTTTCCACTTTGTATGATACCTTTTCCCAGTCTTCAGAGCTTTGTGCTTTTGGTGATACTAACAAAAATTACCAGCAAAGTTCTGGGATGATTGAGTAACTTTCAAATTGACTTACTTTTCTCAAAGTGGCTGTGGGCTGAGAATCATTAAACTACCTCTTTTGCAAAGTACATAGCAAACAGGTTTTTTAATCTCCTGTTTGGAAAGAAGATTACTTTATTCAGTTGTGGTTTCTGTGGAATTTTAAGTGCAATTAAAAAATGAAGGAGCACTTGTTTGGATGCATTGGGGTATTATATATTCTTGCAATTCTTAGTTGTTCTTTTTTCACTTTAAAAATACTGAGGGATTTTTGTGGGCGGAGCTGCTAGGAAAGGGAAAAGAAGGTCAGGAGGAAGTATTGAAATGATAGACATCCCAAAGCAAAGAACTCCTTCTTTGAGAGAATCTCAAAGGGATTTATAAGCAAAGGCTACTGACCAGGCTCTGTGGGAAGTAAACCTGAGTCACAAGGAAACAATCCATTTCCCAAGGTCACCAGGCAGAGGGAACTGTGGTTGGAGGAGCCAGTGTTCCAAAGTTGGCCATCTGCTTGAAAAAGTTTTCTGTTCTCTCAAAGGTACACACAATTCTCACAAGTGAGCTAGTCTAATAATAACTAGTAAAGCTAATTTACAAATAGCTGAAGGAGGAACAACCAATACTATCCTCTGAGACTGGGGGTATGGGTAAACTGGCAGGGTCATATAGTTAAAAAGAGACAGTGCTAGAAAAAATTAGGATTCCTATATTAAGGAAGCCCCACGCCCCAAATCTTGAACCTATCATGAAGAACAAAGTACAAACAATAACTTCAATAATTTTCTGCTCAGAACTGCCACATAATTATGAGCGATACTAAATTTCTCAGGCAGAAATCCAAACTTGACATTTAAAATTCATCAGAGGTATAAACTGTGTGTCATAAATAGGAAGAAAGGAGTGTGACCTTGTACTATCCATTAACAGCTATGAACATGGGCATGTGGAGGACAGGAAAAAAAATTGCATGTGCTGAAATACATTGAAAA